TGTCTAGTTCATCTGGAATTTGATTTGGTGTTGGTTCGGTGTATCCGAAATTTGAAATTTGCATCCAGTTTATTTGGTATTTGTCGAGTTGGAATTTGAGATTTGCGTCCAGTTCATTTGGTATTTGGCAAGTTGAAATTTGCATCCCTTTGGTTTAGTAGTGGATGTGTTGGCTACTTGCAGTTATGAGTGTTCCTTCTTCCTCTCCAATTCGTATTGAGATTGACTATTATCTATTTTCTCCTTAAGTCTTGGTGATGGTTAGGTTAGATTAGTCAGAGATTGCAAGTCTGGCTCAAAGTGATGCCAGATGATATGTTTCATTAAGTATATATAATGTTTACAAGCTTGGAAAGAATCCAAATACATAACAAACTAGATTACATTTTATCAGAATAAAATAAAATGATCTCAGTAGCTATCCATGTCATGATTCGTTAGAGAGGCTGTTGGTTTGTTCAGTGGAGTGGATAATGTTGGACTCTTTTGTATTTTGAATTGATTGGTTAACTGCTCCCTTCAAGCTGATGGTGAGAGGTCGAACCATTAGCTTGTCTTTAGCATACTGAATCTGCTCTTGGATAGTCCCTTTGTGAAAATATCTGACGGTTGGGAAATGGTTGAAATGTAACGAGCAAGAATGTCCCTGTTAAAAATTTTCTCCCGAATGAAATGATAATCAACCTCTATGTTTTTGGTCCTTGCATGAAACACAGGGTTAGAGGATAATGAAAGTGCTCCAATGTTGTCAACCCATAAGCAAGGAGGTGAATGAAGAGGAAAGCCAAGCTCCTTCAAAAGCATTTGAATCCAATATAACTCAGTAACAATTAGGGCCATTGATCGATACTCCGCCTCAGTGCTTGATCTAGCAATAACAAGTTACTTATTTGCCATCCAAGAAATTAAGCATGGACCTAGAAAAATGCAATAGCTTGTCGTAGACTTGCGATCATCAGGGCTACCAGCCCAATCTGAGTCACAAAAACCATGTAAAGATAAGGACCTTTTGCTGTAATGAAGTCCATGATCAATGGTTCCTTTTAAATATCGAAGCACTCTCTTTGCTGCCATGAGGTGGATTGTAGTTGGGCAATGAAGAAACTGACACAGTTGGTTAACATTGTAGGCAATATCAGGCCTAGTCAATGTACAATATTGGAGAGCTCCCACAATATGTCTGTAAGTAGATGGATCTGAAAGAGGTTCACCAGTGTGCTTGGACAATTTTTCACCAGAGGTGCAAGGAGTTGAAACTGGTTTAGCTCCCATCATTTTAGTGTCATGCAGCAAGTCTAAAATATATTTACCTTGATGAAGATGAAGAGAATCTGAGGTTCGAGAGACCTGAATGCCAAGAAAGTATGATAAAGTCCCCAAGTTTTTTACTACAAAGTCTTGGCTGAGTTGTTGAAGAAGAGCAGCAACTGCATTGGAGGAATTACTCACCACCAATATATCATCAACATATATTAAAATAAGGATAGTGACAGCAGATCGATGGAGATAAAACAAAGAAGTATCAACAGATGATCCAGTAAATCCAAGTTCCAAGAGACTTTGAGATAGTCTCCTAAATCAAGCTCTTGGAGCCTGTTTCAGACCGTAGAGAGACTTGTGAAGTCGATAGACATGTGATGGAAAATTGCGGTCTTCAAACCCTTTAGGTTGCTCCATAAATACTTCTTCCTTAAGGTAGCCATGCAAGAATGCCTTAGATATATCAAGTTGCTAGATAACCCAGTTGTGGTGGACTGCCAAAGCAAGCACAAGTCTAATAGTGGCAGGTTTTATGACTGGACTAAATGTTTCATGGAAATCAATACCATGTTCTTGCTCAAAACCTTTAGCTACAAGTCTCGCTTTGTACCTGTCAATGGTGCCATCTGCCTTTTGGTTGAGTTTAAAGACCCATTAATTTCGAATTACATGCTTATCAGAGGGTCTGGGACATAAGGTCCAAGTTTTATTGGCAATGAGGGCATTAAACTCAAGCTTCATGGCTGCTTGCCAATTGGGATCTTTAGATGCTTGGTTATAGGTTCGTGGTTCAGATGGAAGCATGATTGAGGAGAGGGCTTGAATTGGATGTTTAGTGGAGGAATAGAGCTAATAATCAGGAAATTGTCTAGGTTTGAGAGAATTGGTTTGGGATCTGGTGACTATCTATCGTGAAGGGGAGGAATTAGACATAGATAAGGGTGAAGGTGGAGTTGAGAGGTCTTGTGTTTGAGCATTGTCAAGGGGAGACGTATCTGCAAGAGTTGTATCAACGAAGTCAGAGAAACCAGAAGCTTTTGTAGGTGAGATAGATGGAGACATACCTGTTGTGACTGGAGCAGCAGTATCCAATGGAATATCCCTCAGCAGTATCCATGTTAAGAATTGGGATTTCATCTTAAAATGTCAACGTTATTAAGAGGAGTAGCACAATATCTTTATTAATTGGTGTGTGTCAAAATCATTTATCGATGTGGGATATATATCCCTTAACACGTCCCCACAAAATGGTGGCTTGTTTGAGCAGACCAATTTTGAAATTCTTTATTAATTGGTCTGTGTCACATCATTTATCAATGTAAGATATACATCCCTTAATACGCCCTCGTAAGATGGTGGCTCATTTGAGCAGACCAATCTTGAAATCCACGTGCTCATTTTAGAGTCTTAACAGGATCGAATCGCTCATGGGAGCATAATGGGCTCTGATACCAAGTCGGAAATTGCAATCTGGCTCAAAGTGATGCCAGATGATATGTTTCTTCATTAAGCCCCTATTTGGCCCCCATTATTTGACATTTTTGATATTTGAAAATTTTCGGAATAGTGATTGATGGGAGAATGTCCGGTGAAAAAGTAATGAAAAATTTTAGATTTGTGTGTAATATTATTATATTTGATAAATGTGTGGTTGTAATGAAGAGGGAAAAAAATTTAATGTAATGTAATTTAATTTAATGGGGGCCAAACGGGGGCTAACTATATATAATGTTTACAAGATTGGAAAGAATCCAAATACATAACAAACTAGATTACATTTTATCAAAATAAAATATAATGATCTCAGTAGCTATCCATGTGATGATCCGTTAGAGAGGTTGTTGGTTTGTTCAGTGGAGTGGATAATGTTGAACTCTTTTGTATTTTGAATTGATTGGTTAACTAGATTGGTGGATGATGATTTTTTATTATCATCAACNGAGGAATTAAATTTTTCTACAGTAAATCAATTCTTATTTTTAACCATATATTTTTCAATAAAATAATATTTTTCATCACATCAATAATTTTTTGGGAGAGATTTTTGGAGGAAGAATTGATTTTGAATAGTAATATGATGGGAAATGTGTGGTTGAAAAGAAGAAAAAATTATTGATGTGATGGAAAATATTATGTTATTGAAGAATGTGTGGTTGAAAATGAGAATTGATTTACTGTAGAAAAATCAAAATTCATACCAAACGGGCTCTATATATACAATTTATAATATTTTTCACGGTAATAATATTCCAAATGTAACGTGCCCAGAATAACTTATGCCTATCTTATAATAATGAGTCCAGAATAACTTATGCCTATCTTATAATAATGAGTAGTAAATCAGAAGCTTTGGGACTTACAACTATTGAATTTTGTTTGTCTCCCCCTCTCTTTATAAAGAGATATATGGCTTGTAGTTGTAGATATATATGCATGGAAAGACATTGCTTTCCCGCGTTTTTCACATGCAATCTGAATGCGTGCAAGCTATTTCTTGGATTCGCCGCCACCACATTATTTTCTGAGAAATGTTATTCATCCCCACTGTGGATACATTCCCAATCTATGTAGCGTTAATGTAGCATTAAATGATCGATGAAATTAAATAAGTCATTTAATTTCACCTATCATTTAACCAATTATTTATATCCACATAAATTGGGGATGCATCCCCACTGAAGATGAATAGCATTTTTCTTATTTTCTTGATCCCTTGACTGTTTTATTTCTCTTCAAGCTTCTTCATTCCTCATCAAGCCTCTCTCCACCTTTAATATATGCTTATGTACACATTATACATATAAAGTTACATTACGCATACTCATTTTCAAGGGCTTAACTCTAGTCATTTTCTTGCTCGTCATCACCAAGAAAATTTATAAGTACTCTCTCTCCCTCTCTCTCTCTCTATATATGTATGTATGTATGTATGGAATTGATCTTCTAAGTACCAGGGGAAGGGGACGTGGAACCCTTCAATATGTTGTGTAATTAGTATGAGCACTGATACTCATCTTATGTTGGGCATCGGTGCCGTATTATATAAATCTATTAGTAGATTTTAAACTTAATTCAAATATGGAGGCCCACCATAAGTTTATCCACCTATGAATTTATATGATAAGTCACCAGATTCTAACTATCCAACTCAAATTCTTTCTCTTGTTAACAAGGGTGATACTTTAATTTTTTCTTATATAGAATAAATCTATGGAGGGTGCTACTGTAAATAAAATTGAATCTTTTGGTTTTTGGCTAGAATTACAAATGCTTTCTATGAATTGAATAATTCTGTTAATATGTAGCTGATATGTTATATTTGCAAATAATCTATCATATTTGAAATGATTTCATGTCGTACGAGTGTGCATTCTGTTATAATTAGTAGGATTTTGTTCTTCATATATTTCTTAAATGGAAATCATAATTTGCAATTTTAATAGTGAACTTTCTGTCAAAGGGGAAAATTTTACTAATTAAGCAGAAAACAGAAATTTATGTTGGCTTTTTTTTGGTTTAGTTTGTGCAGACCGAGTGGATTCTGAGACATCTCTCGAGGAGAACAGTCTCATTATAAGAGCTGAAATCGGAAAATTAATGGGAACCCACATAAGCAAGAACAAGCATGGTGAAACTTCAGGTGCAGTCAACAATCTGCAATACACAAAAGAACTCAATTCCTATGAAGCTGCCTGCAGGCTTGATGCAGATGTGCAATCCTTCGATACGACTCTCCAATCAAGAACCAATAACGTTATCAGTTCTCTAGCTGTTGGGGTGGAAGTTCGAGCTCTGTCTGTGGATTCTTTGAAGGATGTGACGGAATGTCTGCTGGAGATGAATCAGGAGGTAGTTAAGGTAATCTTGGAGTGCAAGAAACACATATGGAAGAATCAAGAATTGTTCGAGCTGGTGGAGGATTACTTTGAGAATAGCTTTAAGACTTTAGACTTCTGTTCTTCGTTGGAGAAGTGCCTAAAGCGTGCTCGTGACGGTCAATTGCTCATTCACTTCGCGCTTCAGCAGTTCAAAGACGAGGATGATCCAATGGGAGGAAATAGGTATTGTTAATGTACCTCGTCTAGCTTAAATTATTGGATTTCTAACATCTTTCCCTTAATGAAAATCGATGTTTGCAGCGACAACTTGATACATCTGTTGTTATACACTCATTAACAAATCTATGTCAATAGTAGAATGCCGTTGTTGACAAACCTTTACTCTCGCACTAAGAAATTGGGGTCTCAAAATCACTGGCCAATAGATTTTTCTATGGCTTATATTTCATTATAGTTCTATTATTTAAATTTTAGGAGATATTTATTTAGAGTCTGTCTTCAACTTACCCATCGCATGCACATTGAGTTCATTTTTTTAAGGTGTGACGCTACACAATCTTGTTTGGCACCCATTCTCATTCTCATTTTTTTTCTTCATTTCAACCACACATTCTCCCAATAAAATAATATTACACACAAATCTAAAACTTTTCATAATTTTTTCACCACACATTCTCCAATCAATCACTATTCCAAAAATTCTATTTTCCAAAAAATGGTGTCAAACACCCTCTTGATTTGTCAACAGGTGGTGTACATTGAGATTTGAATCGTTGAATTCAATTTTTCATTTTGTCTAGCTTTATATACTGCATGGAGTACATATTTAAATTGTTGGAGACATAAGATATTTATTTATTTAAACTGTCTCTAATTAACAGATATACTAGAACATTGGAAGAGTTGAAGAATTTCAAAGCCGCTGGCGACCCTTTCACTGCAGAGTTCTTCCAAAATTTCCAGTCTGTCTATAAGCAACAAATATTAATGCTCGAGAAATTGCAACTTCGAAAGAACAAGCTCGACAAGAAACTAAAATACATACACACTTGGAGAAAGGTCTCGAGTGTTATCTTTGCTGCCACATTTGCGGCTGTGCTAATTTGCTCGGTAGTGGCTGCTGCCATGGCTGCACCGCCCGTGGCAGCTGCTCTTGCCGCAGCAACTTCCATTCCATTGGGATCAATGAGAAAGTGGATTAATTCCCTTCTAAAGAACTACGAAATTGTTATTAAACGTCAAAAGGAGATAATTAACTGTGTGAACATTGGCACATATGTCACTATTAAGGACTTGGATAGTATTCGAGTACTCATTGATAAATTGGAGGCTGAGATCGGATCACCCTTAAAAAATGCTGATTTGGTTATCAACGAAGAGGCCGTGAAACCAGGCATTGAAGAAATCCAGAAGAAACTTGACGGATTCAGGAAAAATATCGAGGATTTAGGGGTGCAAGTTGATGTTTGCAGCCGTGACATTCGTCAGGCTAGGACTGTTATACTGCAACGGATTATCAGACATCCCAACCATTGAGGATAAAAGGTTTCCTCGATGTTTTTTATAGTATCTATAGCAAGTGTGACAAATAAAACATCTTAGTCTAAACCTCGATCAATAAGCGCACTAGAATTAATATCCATGTAGTATTGTGTTGAATATTTGGATTGTCAATTTTATTCTTTTGTTTGTTTACAGATCATACTATTGTTATTCAATTAAATTCTAAATTATTTAATTACGAATGCTATCTCCATGGTTTCCTTATTTTTCTTGCCATAATTTAGCAGATTTTGTATTAGGCAGTGAAAAAATCCATAAGAAACTTTAAGGATTCATGAAAAATATCGAGGATTTAGGAGGTGTAAGTTGATGTCTGCAGCCATGACATTCGCGGGGCTAGGACTCTTATTTTGTAACGGATTATCAAACATCCCAACTATGGAGGATAAGAAGGTTTCTTCAATGTTTTTTATAGTATTTACAGCAAGCGTGACAAAGAAAAACATCTTCTAAACCTCAATCAACAAGCGCACTAGAATTAATATCCATGTATAGTATAATGTTGAATATTTGGATTGTCAATTTTATTTTATTTTTTTGTTTGTTTACAGATCATACTATTGCTATTCAATTAATTTCTAAATTATTTAATTAAGAATGCTATCTCCATGGTTTCCTTTATTTTCTTACCATAATTTAGCAGCATTTTGTATTAGGCATTGAAGAAACCCATAAGAAACTTGAAGGATTCATGAAAAGTATTGAGGATTTAGGGTGCAAGTTGATGTCAGCCGCCATGACATTCGTCGGACTATAACTGTTATTTTGTAACGGATTATCAAACACCCCAACCATTGAAGATAGAAGGTTTCTTCGACCTTTTTATAGCATCTATAGCAAGCGTGACAAAGGACAATAACAGAGCTGGTAATTAGAAGAAGAGGACGGTAGAGAACTGGAGCTTGACAGCTGGATTAATAGCTGGAATTACTAATAGGAATAGTTGATCATTTACACGTGTATAGCTTAGATTCTATTGTATAGCTGGATTAGTTAGTTCGTTAATTCTAGATTCTATTTATATACAATTCTCAGCAGTGTATCTTTTCTGACTTTGATTCTCTCATGAGTAATACAATGTGATTTCAACTCACTCTCTATCTCTTTTCCATATTTCAATTCTTTCTTCAGATCTTCAATATGGTATCAGAGCATTAGCTTCCATAATTTTTTAATCTCAATTAATTCGATTTCATCGCCCTTTGATTGAAATGGCATCAGCCGTGAATAACCTCTCATCATCAGTGAGCAATTCTGCCATTGATGATGGATAAAGTCCTTATTACATCCATCATTCAGATAATCCAGGTATAGTTCTAGTATCGCAACTTCTTACTGGTGATAATTACAGTTTGTGGAGTAGATCTATGGTCATTGCTCTATCGGTGAAGAATAAATTAGATTTTGTAGATGGATCATTGACAAAACCTGAAGATGATGTTGACCAACTTAGCAATTGGATCCGTGGTAACAATATGGTTATCTTATGATTCTAAATTTGGTGTCTAAATAAATTTCTGCAAGTATCATCTTATCTGAATCAGCACATGACATATGGATTGATTTAAAAGAAAGATTTCAGCAGAAGAATGGACCTCGAATATTTCAGCTGAAGTGTGAACGGATGAATCTTAACCAAGGACAGTCAACTGTTGGTGTGTATTTTACCAAATTAAAAACGATTTGGGAAGAGTTGAGCAATTATAGGCCAATATGTTCTTGCGGAAAATGTATTTGTGATGGTAATAAGAAAATCACAAAGCACAATCAGATGGAATATGTCATGTCATTCTTAATGGGGTTAAATGATTCATATGCACAAGTCAGGTGACAATTGTTGCTTATGGACCCTATACCTCCAATCAACAAGGTGTTTTCACTTGTTTCTCAGGAAGAGCATCAAAGGAGCATACACATTGATGCAAGTAATTCTAATACTGGAAATTCTATGGCATTCTATACCAGATCTGATCCTAAGAGAACCATCTCCGGACAGACATACAACAAGTATCAGAAGAAGGATAGGCCAATGTGTACTTACTGTGGAATCACTGGCGGATCTGGGGGTGGCCTGGGGGGCACGTGCGCCCCTAGATTTTGAGTTTTTTTTTTTTATTTATGAAATGAAATGAAAAAGAAAGAAATTAGAACCCTCATTCATCTCCACTCCTCCGTCAGATAGCTCTCTCCCGACTCCCAACTCTAAGCTCTCCGATGTTCCAACTTCCAAGCTCCGCCCCGTCCTCATTCCTCTCTGAGCTCTCTCGATCTCCGACTCTCCTTGTGAGGTTAGTTTCGACAATCTCAAATTCTCAGTCTAAGTTAATTGTGTTATATGTATAATTTATTTGTGTTTGTTGTTGAGGTAAATGAATTTTGTTTGTTATTGAGTTTCATATTAATAATCAGCAGGTTAATTAGTTTTCTGATTTAGGGATTTAGAGATTTAGACATAAATCATTCGATAATAATAGCACTTTCGAGCGTAAACATGCTTCTAAGCAAAACTTGAAGTCTTTGAGCCTGTGGGAATTTGTAGGAATTCCTTAGTTTGGGGAGTTAAATTGGCATTTTTCCACTTTATTTTCAGTTTCTGAAAAACATCTTCTAAACCTCAATCCACAAGCGCACAAGAATTAATATCCATATATAGTATAATGTTGAATACTTGGATTGTCAATTTTATTTTATTTTTTTGTTTGTTTACAGATCATACTATTGCTATTCAATTAATTTCTAAATTATTTAATTAAGAATGCTATCTCCATGGTTGCTCCTTTATTTTCTAGCCATAATTTAGCAGCATTTTGTATTAGGCATTGAAAAAACCCATAAGAAACTTGAAGGATTCATGAAAAGTATCGAGGATTTAGGGTGCAAGTTGATGTCAGCCGCCATGACATTCGTCGGACTATAACTGTTATTTTGTAACGGATTATCAAACACCCCAACCATTGAAGATAGAAGGTTTCTTCGACCTTTTTATAACATCTATCGCAAGAGTGACAAAGGAAAATAACAGAGCTGGTAATTAGAAGAAGAGGACGGCAGACAACTGGAGCTTGACAGCTGGATTAATAGCTGGAATTACTAATAAGAATAGTTGATCATTTACACGTGTACAGCTTAGATTCTATTGTATAGCTGGATTAGTTAGTTCGTTAATTCTAGATTCTATTTATATACAATTCTCAGCACTGTATCTTTTCTGACTTTGATTCTCTCACGAGTAATACAATGTGATTTCAACTCACTCTCTATCTTTTATCCATATTTCAATTCTTTCTTCAGATCTTCAATATGGTATCAGAGCATTAGCTTCCATAATTTTTTAATCTCGATTAATTCGATTTCATCGCCCTATCAGTGAGCAATTCTGCCATTGATGATGGATCAAGTCCTTATTACATCCATCATATAATCCAGGTATAGTTCTGGTACCGCAACTTCTTATTGGTGATAATTACAATTCGTGGAGTAGATCTATGGTAATCGCTCTATCGGTGAAGAATAAATTAGGTTCTGTAGATGGATCATTGACAAAACCTGAAGATGATGTTGAGCAACTTAGCAATTGGATCCATGGTAACAATACGGTTATCTCATGGATTCTAAATTTGGTGTCTAAATAAATTTCTGCAAGTATCATCTTCTCTGAATCAGCACATGACATATGGATTGATTTAAAAGAAAGATTTCAACAGAAGAATGGACCTCGAACATTTCGGTTGAAGCGTGAACTGATGAATCTTAACCAAGGACAGTCAACTGTTGGTGTGTATTTTACCAAATTAAAAACGATTTGGGAAGAGTTGAGCAATTATAGTCCAATATGTTCTTGCGGAAAATGCGTTTGTGATGGTAATAAGAAAATCGCAAAGCACAATCAGATGGAATATGTCATGTCATTCTTAATGGGGTTAAATTATTCATATGCACAAGTCAAGGGACAATTGTTGCTTATGGACCCTATACCTCCAATCAACAAGGTATTTTCACTTGTTTCTCAGCAAGAGCATCAAAGGAGCATACACATTGATGCAAGTAATTCTAATTCTGGAAATTCTATGGCATTCTATACCAGATCTGATCCTAAGAGAACCATCTCCGGACAGACATACAACAAGTATCAGAAGAAGGATAGGCCAATGTGTACTTACTGTGGAATGGAAGGGCATTCTGTGAAGAGGTGTTACAAACTACATGGATATGGTTATAAGGCGAGGCAGAAGTCTAGTTTTACTGAACGATTGGGAGCTGTGAATAATAAGTCAAAGCATATTGATTCTGCAAACCAAGTTGTTTCTAAGCATGATTTAGAGCAAACTCAGAGCAGTGCAGGAGAGTTCATCCAGTCCTTGAATTCTACTTAATATCAACAACTACTGAACATGTTGAACAATCAACAATTACAAATGCTATCTCCATGGTTTCCTTATTTTTCTTGCCATAATTTAGCAGATTTTGTATTAGGCAGTGAAAAAAATCCATAAGAAACTTTAAGGATTCATGAAAAATATCGAGGATTTAGGGGGTGTAAGTTGATGTCGGCAACCATGACATTCGCGGGGCTAGGACTCTTATTTTGTAACGGATTATCAAACATCCCAACTATGGAGGATAAGAAGGTTTCTTCAATGTTTTTTATTGTATTTACAGAAAGCATGACAAAGAAAAACATCTTCTAAACCTCAATCAACAAGCGCACTAGAATTAATATCCATATATAGTATAATGTTGAATAATTTGGATTGTCAATTTTATTTTATTTCTTTGTTTGTTTACAGATCATACTATTGCTATTCAATTAATTTCTAAATTATTTAATTAAGAATGCTATCTCCATGGTTTCCTTTATTTTCTTACCATAATTTAGCAGCATTTTGTATTAGGCATTGAAGAAACCCATAAGAAACTTGAAGGATTCATGAAAAGTATTGAGGATTTAGGGTGCAAGTTGATGTCAGCCGCCATGACATTCGTCGGACGTCTATGACTGCTATTTTGTAACGGATTATCAAACACCCCAACCATTGAAGATAGAAGGTTTCTTCGACCTTTTTATAGCATCTATAGCAAGCGTGACAAAGGAAAACATTTTAGTCTAAACCTTGATCAACAAGCGCACTAGAATTAATAGCCATGTATGATGTTGAATATTTGGATTGTCAATTTTGTTCTTTTGTTTGTTTACAGATCATACTGTTGCTATTCAATTAATTTCTAAAGTATTTAATTGTTTCCTTTATTTTCTTGCCATAATTTAGCAGCAGTTTGTTTTAGTATATTTTGATTTTGCAACAAGTTCAACAACAAAAAATTGATTACTTGAAGAGACTTCACACCTGGCCCCTGTTTGATATCATTAAAAAGAGAAATTTGGGGAAATGATGTTTTGAATAGTGACTTTTTTGGAGAATGTATAGTTAAAAATAGGGAAAAAATTTATTTATGTGCAAAATATTTTATTATGTGAATGTGTAGTTAAAAATGAATATGAAAAATAAAATTTTTTGACAAAAAGAGAGCCAAACAAGAGTTGAGTTTCCTTCAAAACATTGATACAAGTGTTTATTTCACAACTGCTTAAAATTGCACGAACACGACACGACACGATACGAATACATTGATGCATGATTTTACTAAAAAGTAGGACATGGACACGTAAGTGACACTTCAATTTAAATTAATATATTTATTTTTATATTTTTTTTAATATATTACATGGCACGTGTATTACTAAGTCATTGTTTGGCACCCCATTTTGGAGAATTTATAAATTTTGGAATAATGATTGATTAGAGAATGTGTGGTTGAAAAATAATGAAAAGTTTTATATTCGTGTATAATATTATTTTATTTGAAAAATGTGTAGTCAAAATTAAGAAACATATATGGTAATTAGCACGTAACATCTTCATCTTTCACTATTATTGTGAAAAACGTTTTTACATTTTATTTTTGGCATTTTCACCCTTATTTTCACCTTTAATTGCGTAAAATGTCTTTTTTTATCTATTTCTCAATTAAAATTATGAAATGATGAATGTATCATTCTCTTCAAATAAAATAAAAAGAAAAAGAAAAAATTAATTACAACCATAGTTCCTATTTTTTAAAAAAATCTCAAATAAATTATTAAAAAGGTAATTAACACATAATATCTTCACCTTTCACTATTTTAGAGGAAAACGTCTCTATATTTCATTTTTTGGCATTTTTACCCATACATTACATATTTGATTGCGCAAGTCATCCTTTCTATTCATTTTCATCTAATTTTTCAATAAAGAGCTGTGAAATGATGAATATGAAAGCCCAAAAATAGCTAACCAAGAGGGGAGTGAATTGATTTTTAAAACTATTTCGATTATTTAACTTAAAATCAAGCATGTGATTACTAGATATATTAATTCAAATAGTAAGGACGAATATGAAAACAATAAATAAAGAGGGATAGAGAGTGCAAACGATATAATTATGGAGGTTCGATCCAACGCAATGATCTACGTCTTCCATTATCAAGCTCTCCAACATGAGCAATGTCAATTTCACTATGTTGATTGACTTGTTGTGCAATCCAACCTTTTACAAAACATCTGGTGACTTACAAGCAAGGAGCATCGACCCTTTTACAATGTTAAACTTTACGGGACTTCAACACGACCTATAATTCAAATAAATTTACAAGTGAAATCGTCTCTTTATAATGAATGATAGATTCAAAGTTGAGTACAAGAATAGAAGTAGGCGAACAATTTAATAGATAGCAATGAATGAATTTCAAGTGTTGGGTATGAAAAACTTTTATGTATAAAATGATTTTCAAAAGTTAATTTGATCAAAGATTTTTCAACACCAAAATGATTTGATAATAAATTATATGAGAGATCAATGCAATTTTAGACTCAAAAGAATCTCAACTGAATGCGCTAAAGTTGTTATAATAAATGGTAAGTGGGTTCGTATTTATAGCAGTTAAAAACGTTAAATTTTCTGTCCAATCGACATCCGCCATTGTACCGGACGACTGAACTAGCCGTTGAGTGTCAAAAATTTGAATGGTTAAAAATTTGACCATTAGACTACCGGACGTTCGCAAGACTAGAAATCTCCGGTTTACCTTTTTCTTAATTATTTTTGCAAGTGTAAATCCTTTAGGAACATTTTCACTTTTTCAAAATAATTGTCATTGGCAAAAAAAAGTTAAATGAAGATTTTTGTCACTTCAAAAATAATTTTTATCCAAGTGCTTTTAAGAAACGTTTATTTCGTGCATAAAAATTTAACTTTCGAGCTTGAAGTGATTCATTGCTAAGAATTAAAGCGATTTATATTTACATATGAATTCAAATCATCTAAGTCTAATGTTTTCGATTGATTTGGCGTGAATGCACGTTTTGTTGCTTGATTTTGAATTTGGTGCTTCGAAAATAATTTTTATTCGAGTGTTTTTGTGAAAAGTTTATTTCGTGTATAAAAATTTAACTGACGAGCTTGAAGTGATTCATTGCTAAGAATTAAAGCGATTTATATTTACATATGAATTCAAATCATCTAAGTCTAATGTTTTCGATTGATTTGGCGTGAATGCACGTTTTGTTGCTTGATTTTGAATTTGGTGCGAATGTTTGATTTGTATCCAATTATTTTAACTTGAGTGCTCGATTTCCAAGCTTTATTGTGAATGCTCGATTTCCGCCAGGTTCACAACATGCATTAATGAAGACTCGAATGTAAATGTTAGAGATAAGAATAATTTTTTTTGTAATAATCAAAATTCGAAATCAACCATAGGTCAACGGAATATACCGTATTATTTAAAAAAAAAAAGAATTTAAAGAAAATTAATTTTTTTAATAATTTATTTGGGACTCATTTGTACTTTTTTAATTTTTTTATTTTTTAATAAATTGAATTAGGACTCGTTTGCACTTTTTAAAAAAAATTGGGACTATAATTGTAATTAATTGTTTAACTTTTTTATTTAAATATAAAGGTATATTCATCATTTCATGGCTCTTTATCGAGAAATTGGATGAAAACAGATAGAAATGATGGTTTGCACAATCAAATATATAATGACGGGGTGAAAATGCTAAAAAAAATGAAAGGTAATGATGATTTTTGCTAAAATAGTGAAAGGTATGGACATTAAGTGTTAATTACCCTTTTAATAATTTATTTGGGATTCATTTGCGTTTTTTTAAAAAATTTGAGACTATGATTACAATTAATTTTTTTTTCTTTTTCTTTTTTTTTTATTTAAAGAGAATGGTATATTCATTATTTCACAATTTGTAATTGAGAAAATAGATAAAAATGACTTTTTACTCAATAAAATGTGGAAATAAGTATGAAAATGTCAAACAAAATGAAAGATAATGACGTTTTTCACATAACATGAAAGGTGAGGACATTACGTGCTAATTACCCAAAGATGAAAATTTTAAAAAATTTAATGGGGTCAAACGCGCTAAATCATGTCATATTGTCGACCAACACAACAATCATGTCGTTCAAGGACAAATCGTCCTACTTTAAGTGTATGTGCATCATAGGTTTAGAGATCCCTATTGGGTAAACTATTGTTAGAGACACACATTGTCATTTCTAAAATCGTAGGGTGCATTTGGTTAATTATTTTCAAACTAGTTTTAGTTTTTAGTTTTGCGAAATATTCAAGATAGTTTGGTCTGATATTTTGAAAAATATATTTTTGAAAACAATGTTAAACTTATAATATAAAACTCAAAACGTATTTTGACATTTTAAGTGTTTTTAGTGAAGGAAATAAACTTTCATTTATATAAAATTCTAAAAAATAAAATTATAAAGTTATAAGAAAATTAAAAATTCTAGAAAAAATAAAATTGTAAAACTTAAAAAATAAAAATAGTTCAAACTCTTGATGGTTATTTACATAAAAATTCTAAAAGAAATATATTTAAATGAATACATAACAAGATTCTCATTACACAGCATTAATTTTCATATGTATTTTCGCTCTCCTTTTGTAATGAAAAAATATATATTATAAGATTTACCAACCTTAATATATATTACTTTATAATATATTAACATAAAATTATTATATTTTATTGAATAATTATATTTCATTAAATAAAATGTCATAAAATAATTTCTCAAAATTTCAAACCAAATATGTTTTCAATTTTTCTGTTTTAAGAAATAGTTTTCAGAATGAAAAACTAAATTTTTTTTAGTAATCTTAAAACAAATCCTCAAAACAGAATATGAACTCAAAATTGAAATACAAACCAATCGCATCCTTAAAGACTCTCTTAAACCCTATTTGGTTTAGCTAAAAATTGTATCTTTAGTAAGTTTTGATAAAATTTAACGAAATGAGTGATTGAAAAGTTGATAAAAATTATGAATCTCGTAAAATATACTTTCAAAAATGAGTTTAAAGAGAGAATGAATTTTTAAAAATGTGGATCGAATAATTTTTACTTGTTTTCCCTTTTAAAATTTATCTGGTATAAACGAATTTTCAATAAAAGAAGCACCAAGTGAACAAGCAAAGTGGTGATAGTAATAAGTGATTCATTTTAGTACTATCCATGTTAGCTTGTTTGAATTCCATTTTCTGTGCGCACACACACATAAAAAGGCAATTTGAAATAGTAATTTGACGGGGAATGTATGGTTAACAAAAATATTTTTAATTTGTATGTAATATTATTTTGTTGAAGAATATGTAATTAAAAATAAAAAGGGGAAATGTATTTTTTAGGGAAAAAAAAATGGGGGGGTTTGGTACTTGTTTATACTTTGAAGCAAAGTATCTGCTTATTTTCGTTACTCATTTTATATATTTCAAAGAATCAAATTCATACTAATCTCTCTCCAGATTTTACCCATCGTTCTCGGGAAAATTTTATCTCCAAAAACCCTAATTTTGTTCTCATAAATCAGGATTATGGAAATTGACTTTGCAGAGTATCAATTGAGTTCCCAACTCCGAGGCCACGAAGACGATGTACGATCTTCCACTCAATTTTACTTAATATAAATATATTTTTTCGTATTTTGTTATCTGTATTATTGGTTTAAAACGCGAATGCAGTTTAGATTTTGGAAATTCAAATTATTTTATCTATATTTGACTTAATTGTTTAATTTATTGGTCAAGACAACCGGACAAGAAATGAAATGTAAAGAACTGTAATCTTTAGCCGATATGCTGAATTTTGTGATCATTAGGCTCGTGGAATATGCATATGTGACGACGCCGGTATAGCTACTTCATCAAGAGACAGGACCATTAGATTCTGGACTTTAGATGAATCCAACAAGCGTGATTACAACTTGTCAAAAATATTGCTGGGGCACACTAGTTTTGTTGGGCCGTTGGCTTGGGTCCCACCCAATGAGGAGTTTCCTGAAGGTGGGATTGTTTCTGGAGGGATGGACACTCTTGTTCTTGTATGGAATTTGGTTACTGGAGAAAAGGTTCAGACGCTGAAAGGTCATAAATTGCAAGTAACAGGCATTGCATTGGATGGGTCAGATATCGTATCGACATCTGTTGATTGGTATATTGCCTTTTGTTTCTTCTAATCATGATATTTGTTTCTAGTATGTTTTATATTGTCACAGCACTGTGATTGGTGATAATACCTAGTTGCCCTCTTTACTGTCCTTGGTAGTTGAGCAATGGGATTGAAAAGATGTAGTACATGATTATTTCATAGTGAAATGTTAAATCTTGCTTTTTGCATATGAAACGATATGAATGCTGGATTTTATTGCAATTAACTGGTAATGGAAAGCTAAAATGGCATTAGTTATGTCTTTGCACTCGTGATTGTGAAAGGTGGAAATTTAGTAAATAGTGGAGTTGTATTGAGTTAAAAGTGCATACAGCTTGCACCTTATTTCCAATAATGTTATTCACTGTTGTTTGTCCATTAATTTAAGAATTTGTTCGTTAATATGTTTTGGAAGTTTGCTGCTCCAGTACATTTTGTAATTCTCCTTTTACATGTTGCTTCACCTTAGTACGCTAAGACGCTGGAGGAAAGGCCAACAGGTCGAGGAATGGGAAGCTCATAAAGCAGCAATTCAAGCAATTATTAGGTTGCCTTCTGGAGAGCTTGTTACAGGTGCATTCTTTAATTTAAGCATTATTTTTCTTTGGTTCTCTTCAGTTAACTTCTCTTCTTCGCTATTTTTACCCGACTCTAGTTTTATTCTTCCTTTTGTAGCACATTCTGAACCATAAATTCAATTTGAATATCTTATATTTATTGCCACCATGAATGAATCTAGATTTGTCTCAAAAAGCATAGACCTCGTAGAGCTTTTGATGTGACATTTAATGGACAATTGGTTCTGATGGTTATACAGGTTCAAGTGACATGACTTTAAAGCTTTGGAAAGGAAAGTCATGCATCCAGACTTTCCTTGGACATACAGGTGTTCCTTCTGCCTTTTCACTGCCCTGGGTCATATATATCCTTGAATATAATGCTGATATCATATTAGTGTCTTTCACTTTTCATATGGTTACATATCAATATTCATTGGTGGATTTATGTTGTGCATATTCTTCAGTATTGCTGTGTAATACTATAAATTTAGAGACAAAATGTCAAAATCTTCCTCTCCTAGATTTGCAGCATGTCAATGTTGTCTCTGTTCTTCCGAAGATGAATACCTTAAGAAAAAAAAAAGAATGAAGCACTAGTGAAACAGACTAGATATTTCCCTCCTTTAGATCAAAAAATAGGAGGCATGCTTGCGAAAGTATTTTTTGATGAATTATGTATTCCCATATGCTTATTACACTCTGATGTTAAACAGCTTCAATAAACTCAAAATTGTGATGAGTTTTATTTCAAAATGATGACCAAAAACTTCCATAACCAGTTGGTATTGATTATGAATTTTACAAATGAGTTTTAAGGTGAAATGGGATCTGTCCAACTGTGAACGGTTCTTAAAAAAGTATTTTTTGGGAAACAGGGTGTTTTTCTGGCCGGGTGATGGGATTTGTTGTGGGGTTGAATGGGGATAGGCACACCACGTCTGGAATTTAGAGATGGAGGTATAGGGAAAATCCAAGCCTTGTCATCATAATAATTACCACCCTAACCAGTAGCGGAGCCAGCACCCGGTGAGGTGGCACGGCCGCCTGTGCTGGCTCCGCTAGAGTTTACAAGTTGGGAGGGAGGGCAGTCGGCCAGTCGCCATTGTTGCAGGACGGGAAGCTTCATTTGGAGAGGGAAGAAGATGAGTAATTTAACTAAGCCCATTTAACGTTTTTCGCCTTCCATTGTGTAAGCCCAAGTAGGCGTTCTAGAGGGGCCGATTTAGATCTAATGATACCAAACAGTTTTCATCTTCCAATGGACTAATTTAACTGAGCCCATTTAACGATCCAAGTTGGGTTTGCTCCAAATTTCATCCTCTACGGTTTTACGAATCAATTTGGCCTCAAAAAACTAATTAACACTCTGTTTGATGTAAAATAAAAAATTTAGAATAACTTTTTTAGAAACTAATTTTTTTTAAGGGAAAGTGTGGTTTTCAGAAGTTGAAAAATGTTATAGGTATACGTATAAAATTATTTTATTGGAAAAATATGTTATTGAAATCATCTAGGGCGGCCATTAACGGGTAATCATTGTTGTTGGAAATTGGAAATTTAAACTTGGTGATAGTTTAATCTGTGATTTACATTTAATTTCACATTTTAGTGAATTTACATATAGATGGAATACTTTTTAATATTATTTAATTAAATATTAATAAATGACTTCGCTATCATAGTCCTTGACTGTCAACGTCAATGATCAACGGTCAACGACCACCTTAGCTGATCTTCAATCCTGGATCTGCCACTAACCCTAACCAAACCTCAAAATTATTGTTATCACCCATCCACAGGAAATTCATTGCCCTTTCTGAACCTTGCAACTTTTCGGGACAAGTATGTCTTCTACTAGCAATTTTCTATTTACAGCCATTTGTAGCAACAATATTTTCCTACTGCTGTCAAGAATTTCCTTGGACATCTTTCTGCATTTATTCTCAACTGTCACAACACTGCAACAATGAGGTTTCCTTCCAAAACTGGCAACAAGAAGTCAAGATAACTTCCTCCTCTTCCTCGTCATTCTATTGACCATAAATAGGTAGGCTGCAGCTCTGCCAGCCAATTTGAACATGATAAATAACAATGTCCTGGCTCACGACAATTAAAAGGTCGGTCAAGATAATTTAGTGGATTGGTGGCTGCGTGTATCTTATCAATACACTCAAAAAATCATGTTAAAGACTTTAAGTCACCAGGGACACTTTCCTTTTAACCAAAAGATCTCCAGCTTGTCACAGGAGCATAATCTTGAATTTTGTTGAAGTGTATCTTTGTCATGCAACTAATTTTGAAAATTTGGTGATAGCATCCATACTTTCTGACACTCTGACTTTGATGTTATTGAACGTTTATGGAGATCAACATATTGGATATGCATGTTTTGCCTACGTAGACTTAAAATTAATACTTCAAGGAGTCCAATCAAGGTGGAGGGCTTACCGATATATGTGAACTTGTATCTGTTTGCATATAATTTAATTGTACTAAAAATGTTCAATTTTAAATGTGAAAAAAACAAAGATAAATTGTTTGGATGGTTCACACTTGATAAGATTTGTCTATTTCCAAAACAAACAAATTGAGATTTAGGATTATCTCATATTTATAATGTTTTCTTTTTGAATTCCAACAATGAACTGGCTGATCCTAACATCAACTGAGGAGCCATATTATTAAGGCTCCTTCAATAAAATTTTACAGGAATATGACCATTTGTAGACTGAAAGAAGTGTGTATTATTTATTCTCATGCAAATAAATGCGATATATTTGTTTGTTCGTGTAATTTTTATAGCATTTTGCAGATACTGTTCGAGGATTGGCTGTGATGCCTGGTTTAGGAATCCTTTCTGCATCACATGATGGGTAAAATTTTAACATTTGTAATGTAGACGTGTTGAGCCACAATTACGATAATGCACGTGGATCTAGATCATGAGCCTCTTGTCTTTGTGAAGTTTGAGATTAGTGGCTATGCCGCTACTATTATCTAGTGCAGTAAAAATAATCCTTTGTATCGTACTGAATTTTTTGCTGTTGGATGGGTACCATTACTTGTCAGATAACGCATGTTAAAGTAGTAATGATTTTATGAAATTCTTATGCTCTTTCTTTTCTTTTTTCTTTTTTTTTCCTCGTCTGGTCTGCATAATGGGGGATATCCCCTTCATCTAGTTCCTCACAATACTTGGACCTACAATGATGTAGATGGGTTAAAACCTGAACCACTTGGCGAACACTGGGTTTCAATTTTAATGCTATGCTCAATTAAGCATTTGAGTATGCATTATCCCCCACCCCCCCCACCCCCCNAAACTAGAATGTTTGGGGCAATTCTGCCACCAAAAGAAATATGATTTTATCTACTTGTACATAATTTTTTGTACATCAAGGAGGGGTGGGCCGCACAGCTCAAGAAATATACTTTCCAGTGAGATTTAGGCCTTGTATGAGAGGGATTAAAATCGGATTAAAATTGAAAATATAGCCGTTATTGTTGACTTTTATTAAACGAGTGAGACACAATAACGACCATATTTTCAATTTTAATTGGCTTTTAATCCCTCCCGAACGGGGCCTTAGCTTCAATTATGAGGATATTGCTGTATGCAATATATTTCCACATGGATTTCAAATTCTTCCACCTAAAACATATATGTTATTTTGAACAGCAAGTTACAAATATAATACCTATGTATCAGCATTTTCTAATTCTTGTTTGTTCAAATGACAGTTCTATTAGGCTATGGACACTTAGTGGAGAACATCTAATGGAGATGGTTGGTCACACTTCAATTGTCTATGCGGTAGATGCTCATGCCTCTGGGCTTATAATTAGTGGTAGCGAGGATTGTTTTGCGAAGATATGGAAAGGTTGTTTTCTTTATGAACTATGTAAACTTCTGAAAATGGCTTCAGCTTTTGGCTGGGTTCAATTATGCACCTTTTGGTTGAATTATATATATTTGAGATTAGATTGTGCCACTTGTTTATGTTTGTAATCTTGTTGTCTAGTTAATTAGCTGAAATTTGCTGAGGTCAAGTTTGCTTTTAGAATTAAAAATAGTTTGCAAAATTATAATCTATTATTGGTTGCTCACGTCTATCAAACTTAACTGAAATTTGGCAGAGATTCTCCACCTGAAAATCATTCATTTTTAAAGATTTAAAAGGGAATGAAACTTCTTTTTAATGAGAACAATGAGAATGTTTGTGTGTGCAAATCTTCTCTTTTTTCTTTTGATAATTTCTGTGTTGATTCAAGAATAATGAAAAATGTTGTTGGTTGTTATTTTTAAGTCTAGAAAGCACCTTGGTTCTGGGGCTGCTGGTTGCTGGTGTAATGTCTTTTTTATTTTGTTGGATAGCTCTGATATTCCGGTTTGAACTTCGTCCCCCATTACCTGGAATATCATTTTATGTTGCAGATGGAGTTTGTGTTCAAAGCATAGAGCACCCTGGTTGTGTATGGGATGCCAAATTTTTGGAAAATGGTGACATTGTGACAGCTTGCTCTGATGGCATTGTACGTATTTGGACCACATGTCATGATAAGGTTGCTGATGCAGTTGAACTTGATTCATTTGCCAGTCAACTTTCTCAGTACAAGTGCAGTCGGTATCGCATCCACCCTTGTCGTTTTTCAATTTTTTTTGGTTTCATTTGTTTTCAAAGTTGCATTGTTTTTTGTGACTATTTTAAGGTCAATGATAGTATAAGGTATACTTTTATGAGCAATAACTGTTAAGCATTTGCAGGATGGCAGAGATTTATTTTAGAAAAGCACATACGTTGTGGGACATTTTCTTTCTTGATTTCTTCTTTTTCTGCCAACACCATATTTATTGTAATAAGGCTTTGTTGTTGTTGATTTCTTCTTTGTTCAAAAAAAAAATCCTCAGATCAGGAGATGGCATCGTTACCTAATCTTCTTATTTATAACCTGAGTAGAAGGATAATAATAGGCACCAGAAAACTGCTATTTGAGTTTGATCGTGATTTTCCACTTTACCTTTTTTTTTTTTTTAATTTTGTTGGTTACATCTTGACCTAATAGCCATCCGTGTTTCATTGCATTAGGAAGAGAGTTGGAGGGCTGAAGTTGGAAGATTTGCCTGGTCTAGAGGCACTACAAACTGCTGGTACAGTCCTAGTTGTGCATAATGCAAAGTATTCTTGTTTTCATTTTCTTATCTAGTCACCTAATGTGATATGATCTAAGTTGATTGGTGGATATTGAAAAAAAAATTAAAATCAATATAAGAGCAAGGATATGTTGTCAGAAGTTTTGCTTAACATAAGCAAAGGTCTATAATAAGTAGAACTGTAGAAAGCATAGGTTGTAGTCTTATTGGCTGATTTCACAAATGAAATATATTTGACTTTTCAATTGCAGTTGGAGAACTCCTGTTTCATTAATTTACACATTTATTGTTACAATAATCAGGAACTAGTGATGGGCAGACAAAGGTAGTTCGAGAAGGAGACAATGGTGTGGCCTACTCGTGGAATATGAGTGAACAGAAGTGGGATAAGGTGATAACGTTTTCATTGTTAATATCTATGGAAATTTCATGTCTAAATTTGTTGCGTTTCATTTGTCTTGCTAATTGTTTAACGTGCACTCTTCTCAAGAAGAATACAACTGCTTGTCTTGAATTTACATTTTGAGGTGGTTAGTTTAATATGCTTCTTTGAGTTTTCCTTATGCTTACATGCTTCCATGGCCAAAATATCACTGATGTAGAAAGCTCATAAACAAAGATTCACAATCAGCCAGCAATTTGTGAGACTTGAGCAGAAATTAAGAGAACGAGAGGAGAAAAGAGAGGAGGTGGAGAAAGAGAGAATTATAGGGGAGAACGTCTGAGTTTATGCAAAGATCCTCTTTATATAGAGTTTAAACAAACCTAATTTAAGTAGGGAACCAAGGAAATAAAACCTAATTTAATTCAAACTAGAACACTATAATAACTGAAATAAGCTAATCTAAACCAAACTATCTTTATTCCTAATCTACTATTTTTATTTTATTTTTTCCATATCCTCATTCCCCATCAATCACTCTTACGAAAATTGATTGTCTAGCTGACGGTTTCACAATACTTATTGCTAACTGTCTTATCTAAACCTTAAACTATTAGGGAGGGCTACGAGTATTCATTCACATACGGTCCCTTTAACACTTGTATAGAAGGAAACTTATTGAAGTATAATTAAGTTCCGTTCCCCTTTATAATATGATTGCTTGCACAAACCTGCATTTGGCTCAACTGCAGTAGTGGTCAAATTGCTGCTCATAAGAATTTGGTTTTCTTTATCTCAGTTATTGAATTTTATCAAACTAATTTTATTTTATTATAGATTTTGGTGGTGAATGTTTGATTACTTGAGCTTCTTTCAATAATGGTATATAGCTAGGTATTTGATGAAGAAAAATTATGCAAAAGAAACTTAAGGATGGGGAATTTGATTTTTGCAACAATTATGATTTCATGTCGAATAACTTTTTTTCTGTTTTGCCACCCACTCCCCCACCCCATAAATAATAATAATAATAATAATAATAATAATAATAATAATAATAATAATAATAATAATAATAATAATAAAAAATAAAAAAAATTCCTGGCTCCTTCCTTGGATTGGGATTTAAGTATCAGTAAACCTTCTTTGTATTTTTTGCATTGTCGTACTAGCTTCTTTGACTCCATTTACTATCAGGTTTTTCTTTTGAAAACCTTTTTTGTGCTTTAATCCTTTTTCTCCATTTAGATTGGAGAAGTTGTTGATGGTCCTGATGATAATATGAAGCATCCTGTGCTCGATGGAGTTCAATACGATTATGGTTTGCCCAGTCTAGTATATTTTACCTTTTCATGCATGTGTTCCTTTTCTTTTCAATGACAATCCATATGTTTGTCAGTATTCGATGTTGATATCGGAGATGGTCAGCCCATACGCAAATTGCCATACAATCGTTCTGGTAAGCTCCTGTTTCAGGATCTTATGTTTTATCATAATTATGCTTGCCAATGTCTTTCTAATTGCTGGTGCTGATTGTTATGTTGCTATTGTATTTATTAGAACTGATTTAGGTAGGATCACGAAATTTTGATGTCTGTTTCCAATATTTTATCTGTGAACGTTTAGTAAAAGTAGATTATTATTTGGGAAGCTGAACTAAGTGCATGTTTGGATCAGCTTTTAAGAACCTTATAAGCTCAGCCAAATATGTTCCAACTCGTGGCAGGAAAAGGAAATAATTATCTTTTGCAACTTGTGGGGTGATGTTTGTGAGGGATTGAAATTCAATGATTTAAGGTAGGGGAGAAATGTTTTATGTTCATTTTTGGATAGGAAATGTTTGATAGAATGGATAGGGAAATGCTTGATCTGCTTTCTTTTGTCCTCTCTTTCCCCAAACTTGTATTCATGCTCAACTCTCTTTTTCATCCATTTGCTCTCTCTTATTTTGGGCTTAACCTTATTATGAGGCCCCATGGTTTAAAAAGGCATGGCTGAGGCGCCTCAGTCTAAGGCAGTGAAAAATATTACTGGGGCGCAAATATTTAAGGGGAAATGATGCTTACGCCGTTAATGATTGAGGCCAAGCCTTGAGGCACAAGCCTCAAAGAGAGTGTGCCGTGCAACTCTTCTTAATTATCTTGAGAACCAATTTTTCTTTGAAGTTCTCATATTTCATTGGTTGACTTCATCAGAAATCCAATATATATTAAAATTGCCTAGGGAATCTACTAAATTTTAATATAACTTACCAGACCTCATTGATTATTAGCCATAAATTATCTTTGGAAATTCATTATATTTCAAAACCTAATTAATTTCTTTGATTATAATTAAGTGTTTGTTTGAGCCCCATTTTTTTGGGAAAATAAATCTTGTTATAGTTATTTTTTTGGAGAACGTATAGTTAAGAAGTAAGGAAAAGTTTTGAGTTTACATGTAAAATTATTTTATTGGAAGAATGTGTGGTTAAAAGTAAGTTTTGGAAAGTATGAGTTTTAAAAAATGGGGCTTAAATATGGGCTAATATGCCATAGATAAAAGTGCATTATAAGTTGAAACACATACTTTAAGTTGTTCTTTTGTTATGGGATTTTTATATATTATATGTTCTTTTTTGTACTTTTTTACTGGTTTTTTGGTTACGCCTAAAAACTCCTCAAGGCTTATGCCTTGTCTCATGAAGGAAAAAGGCCTAAGTACCCGATTTCACTTTTAAGCATTGTGAGGCCCCCAGATATATAATTAGTAAAAATTATTATCTGGTTATTTTATGTCCTAGTATATTAATAAACACAGCCCAGTTGATTTGCTCAAGTGCCCACCATACTGTTAAACCTTCATTTACTTTTAAGGCTTAAGAAGTACATAAATGGAAGCAATTAATTAGAGAGGAGATGAGAAAATCACAGACAATTTGCAGTTGTTACTACTGAAGCTTGTGCCCATGATTAAAAATAAATTTGCATGTCACCATATTTGAGGCTATAGTTTCATTGAATTTTCTTACAATTATTTTTATATGAAGACAAGACATTTGGGTTATCCAATTTATGCTGGTATATGTTGATTCTGTGTGTTCAGTAACAATTATTTTTATATGAAGACAAGACATTTGGGTTATCCAATTTATGCTAGTATATGTTGATTCTGTGTGTTCAGTGTAGTACTTGTTAGATTATTCATGTTACTATCTCCTGCACCTTTACTTTAGATCTACTTTCATATCATTTTTTATTATTATCATTTTGCTTTTCCATAGGACATCTCATTAGTACATATAGAGTTAGCATGACACTTTTGCATTGTTTTATTCTTTTATTGCTGCTGATTTTGTAAGTGCTGACCTTTTTATAGATAACCTATATGACGTGGCTGACAAGTGGCTACTCAAGGAAGACCTGCCACTTTCTTTTCGTGAACAAATTGTGGAGTTTATTCTGCAAAATACAGGACAGAAAAATTTCACCCCAGATCCATCATTTCGAGACCCTTACACAGGCTGTAAGTATTTTTTTTTTTTTTTTCTTTTTTTGGACAACATATTGGAATTGGTTTTGATGCTTCATTCACCTTAATTATTTCTCATTTTAATTTCAATTTTTCAGCGAGTGCTTATATACCTGGAGCGCCTTCCAAATCGTCAGGTAATTTCTCACTGTCGATGTTGTTTTCCTTCTTTCCATTACTTGTGTCGTTATGTAGAGATTGTGATTTGTTGATTGAATAACTGCAGCGGTATCCAAGCCTACTTACAAGCACATTCCTAAAGTGAGGATCTCTAACTTCCATTAATCTCCATTTTCTTTCACTTTTTATATTATGACATTTAATACAGGGGTTTCACACCTCATCTCCATTACGAATAATCATGCTTCTTTTAGATATGAATATTTGAGCATGTGTCCAATTTAACTCTCTTGAGAATACGAAGAACATTTTGTTCAATGAATTTCTGTTTTGCTATATGTTTACTTATCTGTGCTGGGTTTTATATAGCTCTATGGTGAAAAGAACTAGCAACAATAATGATCTCAAATTTATTGCATTACAAATATCAAAGTTTTATGGCAAGTTGTAATAGACCATAGAATCCTAACTTGCCTCGCCTTCTTGCAACTACTTAGAAATCTAATGTAACGATAATATTAATTGTTTCTCCAGAAAGGAATGCTGGTATTCGACGTGGCTCAGTTTGATGGGATCCTCAAAAAAGTTTCGGAGTTCAACAATGCACTACTTTCTGACCCGGTAAACTTTTTGCTTCAGCGTTTGGTTATTGCTCTTCTTGTACTTCCACTTTATCCCTTTTCTCTGTCACTGTATACTAATTTGATTAGCTTTGAGAAGTTTGCAATCACAATCACCATCATGTTAGTTGTTGATTGTGTCATACTATTTCTTGATAGTTTTTTTTCACTTTGTATGCCTGACTTTAGTCTTCTCAACTCATCCGGCAGGAGAAACAAAATTTATCACTGACCGAGGGTGATCTGTCGAAACTGGGCACCATCATTAAAATTTTAAAGGATACATCACACTATCATAGCAGTAGATTTTCAGACCTAGATGTTGCGTTAATGGTAAAGTTGTTGAAAACATGGCCACTTACGATGATATTTCCAGGTAACATTGCTCGTTTATCTGAAGTTTGTACTTGGGTGCATAATTGTCTTTCCTATATAAGTATGTGTAGAGGGAAATGCTCGGATTGGTATCATAAAGAAANCTCACCATCAGAACCACCAGTTTTAAATAATAAACACTTCTAGGGTCTGTGGACCATAACCGGATAAAAGTAGCCCGTCACCACCCTACCCACCCCTCACATAATGATTATTAACTCTACTTGCAAGTCTTTTGTCAATCACCCAAGTGCCCTTTGTGAAAATCTTGCAGAATAGATTTTAATGTCTATTTATTGATTGCAGTTGTCGATGTAATGAGGATGATTGTATTGCACCCAGATGGGGCAATTAAGCTGCACCAGCACGTCAAGGATGAAAATGGTACCTAATCTAGATTTGCATCTAACCTTTTTCACTTTTGCCTTCATACCATTTCTATTTTATTTATTTTTCCCAATTTTTATTTCATCCCATTGTGGTTCTTACTTTCTGTAACTGGTTTTCACCAGATGCTATTATGGAGTTGATCAAGAAGGTCACCGCAAGTCCTCCACTTCCCCCAAATCTTCTGACCAGCCTCCGTGCTGTGACTAATCTTTTCAAAAGCTCGTTCTTTCATGAATGGTTACAACTCCATCGCATGGAGGTCTGTTATTTTGAGATCTTTTAAGTGCTAGAGAAAATGTAGGCAGAACAGAATGTTTAGGTTATAAATTCATAGCCTATAACTTCATGCATTCATGTTACATTCCACTGCTTTTTGTATACTCATTGTGGAGTTCTTTATTTACTGATCTTGTAGATTCTCGACGCCTTCTCGAGTTTTTACTCATCTTCAAATAAAAATGTGCAGTTGTCCTATGCAACATTAATACTTAAGTAAGTAGCCAAATGAATAATCTCTTTTTTTCCTCTTGATTTAAGGGCTTGAGTTGTTATTTTCTTTGAGTTCTGCAGTTATGCTGTTCTTTTGATTGAGAAAAAGGATGAAGAAGGTCAATCCCAAGTTCTATCGGCAGCCTTAGAGGTATCTTTCATATTTTCTCATTCCAGAAAGACCTGCATGCATATATAACCCTTGTTTGATTCCCTTTACTTCCTTTAATTTATTTCATACTCATTTTCAACCACACATTCACACAATAAAATATTATACACGAAAACCCAAAACTTTTCCTTACTTTTTAATCACACATTCTCCGAAAAATAATATTCAAAACTATGTTTTTTTAAATTTTAAGGTCACCAAACAGGGGCATAGTATCACGGCATCTAGCAGAACTTTTTAGGGCTTTAAATTGTTAATATTTCATATGCGAAGCTTATTTTTTGTATCCACAGATTGCTGAAGAGGAAAGTGTTGAAACTGACTCAAGATTCCGGGCTCTGGTGGCCATTGGATCACTGGTAAGGGTGTGTTTGAGCTACATTATTTTGGAAGAATGTATTTTGGAATAGTAGATTGATGGAGAATGTGTGGTTGAAAAAGAAGGAAAAGTTATTGATGTGATAGAAAATATTATTTTATCGAAGAATGTGTGATTGAAAATGAGTAGAAGAATGTGAATGAAAATTGTAATGTGGCTCAAACAGGGGCTAAGTCTGCTTTCCATGATCAGTTCTTGGACTATGGTTTACCTTGAAGTAATTACTTCATAGTAAAAGCATGTTTGGCTAAGCTTTAAAAAAAGAGTTAAAAAGTTTCCTTTGAAAGTACTTATTTCCAACTTCAACCAATCAAAAAGATTATTTATTCTAAAGCTTTCATTTATACTTAATAACTGAGCTTTTTAAGCTTGATGCTCAAAAAGTCATCTGCTTTCACATCATGGCATCAAAAATCTTGCAACCCTCTTGCATTTCCAACCTCTATAGTTCTTATCTTTTCTTATTCTGTTTCGAAACACAGATGCTTGAAGGTCTTGTGAGAAGAGTAGCATTGGACTTTGATGTTGAGAACATCGCTAAAGCAGCAAAATCATCTAAAGATGCCAAGATTGCTGAAGTTGGAGCTGATATTGAACTTGTGGCAAAGCAGAGTTGAATGCCCAAGTTTGAGTGAACTTGTGGTTTTCTTCTTGAACAAAATTCAGTTAATCCAGCTTACATGTACTATGTATTAAATCATTTTCCATTTCTGGAGTTTATGGCTATGTTTTTCCTACCTCCCAAATAGAGAAAATGGAAAAAAGGGACCTCTTTCTTGCGTGCAGTAAAAAGAAAAGAAATTGCATGTTTATATGCTCCATTCATTTACGTATTTAGGGATAAATTATTTGTAAAAGTAAAGCTGAGACTGGATTTGAAATTTAAACTACTTTTTTATTTTATTTTTAAGACTATTTAGTTATTAAGTTGAGAATTACATTAATTTAAATTTTATGCTAGTTAAAAGATTAATACTATTCATAGTGAGAACTATCGATAGCTGTCATGCATGGTGTATATGTGGCAGTTCGCAGATCAAATAAAGAACTGTCACATATATATCACGCAGAGCGGTTATCGATAATCCTTAATGTGAAATGTGAATAGCATTATATCTAGTGTCTTAATCAATCGTGGCCTTACGTTCAAATAAATTGATTTTGTTATAACAGGTAATGATCAAGGTTCAAAACACGAGCTAGCCACCTTTGTTGAATAAGCAAAGGTTTGACTTAAGGTGACATAATCATCTTAGATATTTTCTAAAAGATAAATTTATAAAAGCAAAGGATTATTTTGAAGAAATTTTGTACCATTGGTCCTTGACCTATTCTTCTAGTAGCAAATTCATCCTTAATAATCTTGTAAAAGAAGTAAGTTTGACTCTTTGACTTTTTATAATAGGTATATGATTAGTGCTTGTCTGCGAGGGATTTTTGGGGGAAAAATTGATTTTGAATAGTGATATAATAGGAAATATGTGGTTGAAAAAGAAGAAAAAATTTTTAATGTGATGGAAAATATTATTTTATTGAAGAATGTATAGTTGAAAATGAGAATTGATTTACTGTAAAATTTTAAGAATCTCCACCAAACAGGGCCTTAGTCTCTAACGACCTAAAAGGACATTTCAAAGAAACTCTTTATTTTTAAAATATATGTTGATCATAATTAAAGAGAATTTTTAAATTAGAAAGTAATATATTTAATATACTCCAACAAACATTTATTTTATTTTTTTTCAAAATTCATAGATGTAAATAGTTAAAATATTCATTATAATATTAATAATTTAATTAATGAAATATTAAAACTTATAATTTTATTAAATGCAATCTTGATAGTGAGAGAATCTCAAAAAATTCTTTAAAAGTGAAATACTATTTATCTTGAAGAACCAAACTTTAAAATCATTACAAGTTCTAATAGATTATTTATTTTAACTCTTTAATGACAACGTAATCAATGAATTAATATAATATGTCGTCAATGTTTATGCTAAACACTGATGTTTAATAAATTATTTCTCTTTATAACACTATTCGCATACTAAATAAAACTCAGCCTAGTGATGACAAAAAAATCCGTTCAACCCGAAACCTATGGGGCCACGCCCCGAACGGGACGGGGATTACTCGCCTAATCAGGTAAACGGAGTGGAGACGGGGCGAGGATCATAGCCCCGAAGCGGGTACGGGAATCATAATCTCCGTCGTGCTACCCATTCAATTTAAAGTTAATTTTACGTTTTTTATCAAACAAAAATAATAGATTTATCATATTTTTAAAGAAAACATAAGTTGTTTCTAACAAAATAAAAAAAAATAAAAATAAAAAATGAATCTCGCGATAAATGGGGCAGAGGACTTGCCCCGCCCCCACCTCTATCCCATCCCGTCCCGCTTTAAAAAGGTATGGAAATGGGGAAAGATAACAAAAATATCCAATGGGACGAGGGTGGGAATGGTCGACTCGTCCCATACCCGCCCCGTTGCCATCCCTAACTTAGCCGCTGTTTGTTTCCAATTATTTCAACAAGAAAATGCTTTTTTTGACCCCTTTTTATCAAAATTATGGAGCCCACTATAATACAAAATGGTCAAATATTGTGACTCGCCATTACAAGCAACGATATAAATTCTACTTTTCATTGAAAACAAACAAGGGCTTAATAAGTAATTATTTGCAAGACTGAGCACAACTTTGATAACATGATCATTTAATTACACAATCGAAATTTTTGTTACATTCCTATGTAACTCCGATTATGAAAATCATTCATGAATACATAAGAAGAATATTTCAAGTTTTATCAAGTGCTTAGTACAAATTTGACATTAATTTACGTTAGCATGCTCTAAAACGAGATACAAATATTTAGTCGTAATTTTGTATTTATTTTTTTGTTTTTGCTTATTCAAAAATACGAAAGGCAAATGATTAATCATTTTACTCCCTCTTAAATGAATTTTTGGTCATAAATAATTATTAAGAACAAAATATGCTTATTAATGAAAGATCGACGATATAAAAAGAGAATAATACTACTCGTACATAAAAAGTTAGGAACATAAGTGCAACAATGAGTAAAGATTATGAACTTTTTTTGTCGGATCAGTGTGCTCTGAATCGTTTATTAATAAAATCGATTATAAATTATTAAATTGATTTTTAGTAGGAAATAAATATTAATTAAGATAAACAAAAATTTAATGGCGTGTTCGGTAGATATTAAAATCATATTAAAATTGAAAAATTAGCCGTTATTGTTGACTTTTATTAGATGAGTGAGACCCAATAACGATTATTATTTTAATTTTAATTGAATTTTAATCTTTACTAAACCAGCTCTAAATATTATTAACAAGCAAACGGATATACAAATTAGCTTCAGACAAAAATCATTTACAGATGAAAAATGTTATTCATCTCCAATGGGAATGCATCCCCAGTCTATGTGGATGTAAATGATTGGTTAAATGATAGGTGAAATTAAATGACTTATTTAATTTCACATATCATTTAATACTACATTAACGTCACATAGACTGGGGATGCATCCCCACTGGAGATGAATAGCATTTCTCTTTACAGATACTCTCTCGCAAAAAGCCAAATCCAATAAAAATATAATTAATGAAAATGAAAATCACGAAAATAAGCAATAATAAATGTAAAACATGGATCACGGGCGCCGGTGGGTATAAATTGCGCAGTAGACAGGGTACACGCCATCGCCCCCAAATACAACTCACTAACGTGCGCATTTGGCTACCTGCTTGCTGCATTGACTCCATGCACATGGCGATCTCTATGCAATTCTCTCGTTTCTCGGTTCGGACGGAGCTATCATTACCGGAGAACAGAATGTTCCGGAACCGGAAGTCTTCCCTTCTGCGATGCTCCGCCGCAGGAGAAGCTGCTGCATCTCCGTCGTCGTCCACTGTGGAGTCGGAGTTCGATGCTAAGGTGTTCCGCCACAACTTGACAAGGAGCAAGAATTACAATCGCAAGGGGTTTGGTCACAAAGAGGAGACTCTCGAGCTCATGAACAGCGAGTATACTAGTATGTTTATCCATGCCGAATTTTACAATCGCGTGTAAATTTTCATTGTCTATGCTTAAAAAGAGGATCAGTTGAAAATTGAGAGTACGTTTACAGGAAATTTTGATTTTCTAGAAAGAATTTTGTCGAGATTTGTTGTCTTTCAGTTTTTGTTCTTCGGATTGTTTTTCAGGACGTTTATTTCAAAATTTCTTCAAAATTATCAGTCCCAAGCTATCATAATCTTCTCTTCAGTTGCATATAAAATGTGATTCCACACTTATTTGTATTTGATCGGTACCCTTTTTATAGTTTCTTATTGTGCAGCTTGCTAGCTGTGCCTTTACTTTGAATTCTTGTGTTATCTTTTTAATTTTTTGATATTTGGAGTTTAATCCTAATCAAATTTTGGGAACATTACAGGTGACATTATAAAGAAATTGAAGGAGAATGGGAATGAGTACACATGGGGAAATGTAACAATTAAGCTTGCAGAATCTTATGGATTTTGTTGGGGGGTCGAGAGGGCAGTCCAGATTGCTTACGAGGCGAGAAAACAATTCCCAACTGAGAAGATTTGGATCACCAATGAAATTATTCACAACCCCACTGTTAATCAGGTTTTTGCTCAACCTCATCACTTGTATTTTGATCAAATCAAACGGCAATTAAGCTAGGAAATAAATGATAGGAAATGGAAGAGTTGAAGTGATTGTTCTTTTTTTCTGTCTCTATATATGTTTGTATTTAGGTTGATCATCTAGTAGGAATAAGGAACTTTTTTACTTGTATTAAATATATGATCTTCTTGTCATTGACTGCAGTATCTATATGTAGGGGAAGATACAAACAGTGCTAGTACTTCACCAATTATGGAATAAACAAACGGTTGGAGACTGAACTTGGATAAATGAATGTCATTTTCTAACTACTTAAGCTTTTAGAGGAGGTGATTCTTTTAAGATAGGTCCCTAGTTCGAGACTTATTATGCGCTTCATTGATAAAGATTTTCTGAGAAGTGATTTTCTGAAAAGTGCTTGAATGTTTGGTATAAAGAGTAATGTGAAAAATAATTTTTATTTTTATTTTTATTTTTATTTTTTTTGAGAATGTGCAATTGAAAATGAGTGTGAGAGAGAAGTAATTCTCAAAAGAATTGAAATAAAAAAAGGGCTATACTATCTAAATAATTTGACTTTTCTCTCTCTAGCGGCTTGAAGAGATGGAAGTTAAAAATATTCCCATTGAGAATGGGAAGAAACAATTTGATGCTGTTAACCTGCGTGATGTCGTGGTTTTGCCTGCTTTTGGAGCTGCTGTGGATGAGATGTTAACTTTGAGTGAAAAGAATGTGCAAATAGTTGATACAACATGCCCATGGGTATCTAAGGTATTTTTCTCCTTACAGTTTTTGAAAACATTATCTCCTGTATGTAACTATGTACAAGTTGTATTCCCCTTCTCTGATCCATGTTTGCATTTCTTCTAATCTTGTCTAAAGGTCTGGAATACTGTTGAAAAGCACAAGAAGGGAGAGTATACTTCAATCATTCACGGAAAATATTCTCATGAAGAGACTGTAGCAACTGCTTCTTTTGCAGGGAAGTACATCATTGTGAAAAACATGGCAGAGGTATCTCCGATTTGCTGCTTCATTTTTAAATAATAATCATTTAGATTGTTTTCAGTAAATGAACAAGTAAGCATTCTTTAATGCTTAATTCTCATTCTGCAAAGTACTATACTTGAATTTAGGCAACGTACGTGTGTGACTACATTATGGGTGGGGAGCTCGATGGATCCAGCTCGACCAAAGAGGCATTTCTGGAGGTGCAGGCTGATTAGCATTTGTCTGGTTTTAAAGACTTAATGCTTTGCATTTGTGATTCAAGCTATTTGTTTATTTGCAGAAATTCAAATTTGCAGTCTCTGAGGGGTTTGATCCAGACATAGATCTTGTAAAAGTTGGTATTGCGAACCAAACAACCATGTTGAAAGGGGAAACAGAGGAGATTGGTTAGTTGCTACCTGCACTTTCTTTCCTCTGCTTTGTTGCAATACCCAAGTAGTGATATGATATTACGACTTTACTCTTCAGGAAAATTGGTTGAGAGAACACTGATGCGCAAGTATGGGGTGGAAAATATTAACAACCACTTCATAAGTTTCAACACTATTTGCGATGCAACTCAAGTAAATTCCTCCATCTATTCAAACAACGTCTTTTAGTTTTGCTTGCGATATTGTTTCTTGCTATATTTTATATCTATTTCACTTTGTCATGGCATGAGTTTGTATTGCACCTGATCTTACATGTTTACTAACCACTTGAATAATTGCTTAGGATTTTCCACTGAGCACGCCTATGAAAATGGGGTGCTTTTGAAGAGGGCTTAGGTCTTGTTTATTGCAGTTTCAAAATTGTTAGTGGTTTTATAAAATATGAAACCACTTTGTGAGACATATTGGAAACATGAAGCGTGCCAAAAGGCTGAGTACATCACAAATATGTATTCATTAAGTGATGCAGTAGTATTTGAGACAGTAAAGTATTTTCCCATTCTATAGATCACGGCATGTCTTTGTTTCCTACACTTGTTGAATTCAACAAAACCTACTTTGAGCACTTTTTAGGACTTTTGTTCTTGGGAATACCTTCTTAGTAGATGCTTAAATTTCTCTTTTGGCAGGTACAGAAAATGCAATTGTTTTAATTTCTGCTTATGGGATGGCTTTGAATTTTGCTATCGGTTAATTTTGAGTTTGACTTTGACATGCCTCTCTTATTTAATCCCATTATTCTTATGTTCAGGAACGGCAAGATGCCATGTATAAGCTGGTAGATCAACATATGGATCTCATGCTAGTTGTTGGTGGGTGGAACTCGAGCAATACTTCGCACCTACAAGAAATAGCAGAGGCTCGTGGAATTCCATCATATTGGATCGACAGTGAGAAGAGAATAGGTCCTGGAAACAAAATAAGTTACAAGTTGATGGTAAGTACACTGAAACCAGTCTATTCTCGTGGCTAACCCCGGGTCACTTTCTGATTTTTCACATGTTGCATTTAACAGCATGGTGAGTTGGTTGAGAAAGAGAACTGGCTACCAGATGGCCCTATCACAATAGGTGTAACATCCGGTGCATCCACCCCTGATAAGGTAACTGTCTCCATTCAGTCTTCACCTTTTCCTTCAAAAATATCCAGCACTTCACTTTGAACATTTTTGGCTCCTCTCATTTGTCCCACATGAGATGCATATGCATGGGCGTACGCGTATACACACACACACATTCTTACTCAAGAACATGACTTTAAGCACGACTTCTTATCGACAGTTGTTTTACTACTTAATAGCCATTATGAAATTTCTATAATCATAATAATTCATCTAGCAGCTTAAGATTTTAATATTGAATTCTGTAGAGCCTAATAGGAATGTATTGGTCACTTATCTCTCCATATTAGATCACAAAGCTTCCTACACTATATATAAAGGTATCTTAGGAGGGCTTTTTTTCATTGTGTACTCCAATTGTAAACTTCTTGCCTATTCAGTGAACATCTGTAACTTTACAGTGAGGGTGAACTACTGTAAATTTGAGTATTCTTTATTCGTACTGACCATTTCATCTGTGCTGAATGGTGTTGGCCACCAGGTTGTTGAAGATGTCCTCGTCAAGGTTTTTGACATCAAACAAGAAGAAATATTACAGTTAGCATAGATTAGTGCTTCATCCCAGCATGGCATAAATTTGTTGTCTGTATTATATTACTCTACATATACAAGTCAGCAGATGAATCAATAAACCATTTATTGTTCAACTCTATGTACCACGACGAATCTATGTAGTTGTATTATAAATACACCGTCCCTTGACGATGAAAGTTTCTCTCTCCATCGCCCTATGCCTTTGTGCCTGATCGATGTAGAACTAGGGGTGTCACCTGTAAAAGGGGAGGGAATCTAATTCCTCTGTAAGTTTCGATGGTTGGAGAAGATTTAAGCAATAAAGATTTATTTGTTGCCTAGATTTTTTGTAGATTTAACAATGAATGAATGCTATTTGTTGTCTGAAGTTAACATATGTTCTAGTTGCCATTGACTCTATTAGTCTACATTTAACAATGAATCGAATGCAATAGTAAAAACTGATTACCCTCAAATAAAAAAATAAAATTCATGTAGTTAGAGACTTTTTTGTTATTATTATTGTGACTAAATTTATCCAGACGATATCCTTTTGGAAAAGAAATCAATTTTTGACGTTTGACCACAGAAAATAGAAAAGACTGTAGCGACTATAAATGGGGAAAAAAAGGAAAGGGGTGGGAAAATTGAAAAACGCTAGAAGGAGGGCTTGAACCTCCGACCTTGTGGTTAACAGCCACACGCTCTAACCAACTGAGCTATTCCAGCTTCTTGATGTTCAATGTCTTTTAATTATATATATTATCAATACTGACCAGGAACAATGAAGTAAATATTGCATTACATATAAAACTTGGGGAAATTACCGTCATGGTATCAAACCTTTTATTTGTATCACTATGATAAGCCTTTCAAAAATTCGCACTTTAGTTGACAAAAATAATAAAATTTGAACAAATGTAATAAGGGCAAAATAGTAACTTTATAATTTAATATAGAATATTTTAAAAAATGAAAAACTAATAAAAGAAAATGAAAGGGTTGTCTCCTTCACAAACCCCACCCCCTATCCCATCCTACCTGAAAATTAGCCACCACCACCGCCCAACGTCGACACCAAAGTCAGTACCTCAAACACATACATAGATAAACGGATTGAGCCATTTGTACATTCTTTTGTTGACATGAAGTTTGACATGCTTTGGAAATTCAAAGTGTTGTTTGCGGGAAAGTGTGTAATGTTTAAAAACAGGCTAATCATGATGCGACATGTGGCACAATGTCAAACTCAGTGTAAAAAAAATGTACAAGTAGCATGATCCTAGATAAACCATGCCAAAATTATTAAACCGCAAAATCAGCAACTTGGATGCGGTCTATCTCTGTATATGTGTTTGAGGTGTTGACAGCCACGTTTGCATTGGGTGAAGGTGGTTGTGATTGATTTTCAGGGGTGGGGGTGGGGTTATTGAAAGAAACAACCCTTTTATTTTATTTTTTCATTTTTTAAATATTTTATATGAAATTAAAGTTATTACTTTTCTCTTATTACATTTGGTCAAATTATACTATTTCAGTCAACCAACGATCATCCATTTGAACTCTATGTGGAAATTTTTGAAATATTTAGTATCGTTGGTGACAAATGAAAATTTTGGATCAAGTCTATAACAAAAATGAAAATTTTGATACCATGACTACAATTCTTCCTAAAATTCCTTGCTATGTTTCAAGTTTAAAAGAAGTCATTACTGGTTAAGATAGGAGTTTTACTAGCTATTGTATTGTTCGATTTATTTTAACACTTGGCTAAAAAGTGAAAAACATTAATGGTTTCAAAAACGAATAATGATAATCATTCAAATCAAATTTTGTGTAAACACAATAGATAACCCAAAGCTATCTAAACGAGTCGAAACTAAAAACTCGAGTTCGACTTGAGCAAAACAGGTCTGACTTCCGAGCTTTTTTGGGTCCTAACCGAGCAAAATTTCGGCCAAAAAAATGAGGCTCGAGCCCGAGCCCCAGTCGGCACGTTTTTTTTTTTTTAATTCGTTTTAAATCTATAATTTTTTATAATCTATTTAAAATTTGTGTAATTTATACGTGTTATAAATAATAACTAAATATTAATATATAAAAAAAACACATTTAAACTTAAAAGAAAAATTAAAAAAAATTAAATTTTTTTTTTATATATTACTTAGTCAGAGCCGATGACGAGCCACGGGCCGGGCCGGGCTCAAGCCGACGCCCCAAAATGATATTCGGTGAACGAAAAATTAAAATTTCAAAAGTAAAACCACCTCAAAATTAGATTGTATCGAAATATATTGACCTTATTTTGATGAAAAATAACTCGAAATAAACAATTTCAAAATTGAATCTTATTTTTTAACAACATAAACCACCTAAAACCTCAAAAGTACTTTGAATGTTGTGGAATTTTCTAACAAATTCATGCCGCTATCATAATACGGCTATTGCACCAAGGAAACTAGTGGTTCCCAAAACACTCCATGGTCAACACTTCTAGATCCACAGTCAAAATCATTTGACCATTTGACCAATCAAATAATCCAACAATCACGTGCAGACCACGTGAATTGAATATCTACTCTCCCAAAACGTCGCACTGTACACATAGTAGAATTCACTCACTGTAGACGAATCTGTACAACATCGTAATTAAAACTAACCTCGTGGCATTAATTTCAGCAAAAGTGACGTGTCAATTGCCCACCAGTTCCAACAGCACAAGTCAACTAAATAACACAGCACATTCAAATTTTCCATTAAACCCTCATTTACCACCACCAACCCACCACCGCCATCACCCATTCCCTCCAGGCTCCAACGTTTACCACCGCTATGATCAACCGTCACCACATACTCCTACCACCTGCTCCAGAGCCGTCATCAGCGCCGACGCCTTCGCCTTATGAAAGGAACTATACTAAGTTGCCCCCATCTCATTCGCCGTCGCCGGAAACATTTCCAGAGTCATCGGCGGAAGGGTTATCGCCTCCGTCGAAGCTTCCGGTGGACTTTAGTCCGCCGTTGATTGTGATGGTGGTTATTATAGCCACTGCTTTTGTCATCGTAACTTACTCGCGGCTCCTCTCCCGCCACTTTCACCGGCTCTATCGCCGATACCAGAGGTGGCGCCGCCGTCGCCGACGGTACGTTCCCTCCACCTCTGCCGGGGACATCGAGTCGCCAACTTACTCCTTCGATCCTATTGACGCTGCTTTCCACGTTCTCTCTCCGTATGGACTCGACGAATCGATCATCAAAACCATTCCTCTATCAGTCTACACACGAAAGAGAGGAATTCATGATTGCGCTGTTTGTTTATTAGAATTCGAAGAAAATGATTATATTCGTACTCTTCCGGTGTGTTCTCACGCCTTTCACGTGGATTGCATAGATATATGGCTCCGGTCACACGCCAATTGCCCTCTGTGTCGAGCCGGAATATTCCGTCCTGAATCTCCGTTCACACCACTGATGGCTGCGAGAATTCGCCCTAGCCTCGAAGATATGATCATCGAGAGCACAATCCTCGAGCCTCTAACCGAGTTTCCCATGGAACCTGACTCAACTAGCGTCGGCGAAATCACCCAGGAACCTTCGCCGCGTTTGAACAACCAATCCGAGGACCGATTCAACGGGCGCGATTTTTTGTTAAAAAGGTCTTATTCTTTTGGATTCGAAAGAAATTTAGGATCAGAGAGATTGGTATTAGAACCGGCAACCACCTCACCGTGGCGGTACAGAAGAGGCGGCGGAGGAAGTTTCTGGAATAAACGCCCTTCACCATTCACTTCATTAACAAAACCTAGGGTTTTCTCATTCCGATACTACAGAGGAATGAAATCTCCATTTTTCCGCCGCCGGAGCGGCGGGTTTTTCCCAGTATCCGAGTCTAGCGTGCGGTTCGGCTTATCCAGCGGAGGAGGCAGCTCATCGAGAAGAAGCAAGTCATTTGCAAGTCCAATGTTCATGAGATCATCAGCTACAGCGGCTGGGCATTTTTCATCAAGCCGGCTAAGGAGCGGTGATCCAGAGGCGCTATTATCACCGGAGAGATTTAACAGACGGTGAAGAATGGTGACACGTGGACAGGAAATTAATGCGTGTCATGTGGGGAACTGTAAACGGCGGGGAATTAACTATCTGCTGCTCGCATTTAATTGTAGGATGGTGAGAAATGACGAAGGCTGCAATGGGGCATTTAAAGAGGTTTGTGCAGTAGGTTTCTCTGTCTCTGTGTACATGTATTTTTTTTTATGGATAAAATCTAAATTATATCGATCAAAAATCATATACAAGTACACCGAACATATTCGGACAAACAAAGATCAAGTATCCAGTACGTCAGGCATACTCGGGCAAATAAAGATCACTTACATGTATTTTATATGTATATATAGTAGGTGTATGTATTTGTTTATACCATTCTTTTTTAGTTTTGGGGGGTGAATTGATCATTAATGCAAATAGCTTGGCTTGGCTAGCCTTTTGGGTAGTAACACTATGTTTGATGTATTAAATTGGACAGTGTCGAACATGAAAAGAGACGTAAAGTGTTTGAGGGGAGTCCATGGTTCAAAGTTTGAACCAAGGCGGCAAAGGTCGATGAAAGGCTATTTATCCAAGTTTCATTGATTCGTTGGATTCTGGTGGAAACGGTTATTGGTCATGCTATCGGTGGTGGTGGGAGCAAGAATTTCGAGAAAGCATTTGGAATATTTCATTTTTGTGTAGAAGCGTTGTTTGCAAGTTCGCGTGTTAGTATTCTATGGCCCATATAACTCGAAGTTTTCCTTCCTTCATGTAGTTTCACGAGGAATGCGAAGTTGTCTTTTAGTGGAGGAGAGGGTTTTTCATTTTCACTATTTTCTTGCAGTGTGTGTAGTGATTTCTTTGGGGTTTTTGAAGGCGGTGTGATGCTTGTAATAGAAGAGGAAATGATGAATTTGAGGCAATTTGAGCAACTTGAAAGGGGTTACATACATTGAAGATTGTTGTGATTCTGCCTTACTTGATGATTTACAACTTTTGGAGATCATTTATTTATCAACCATTCAAAGGTTTGTATCAAATCATTTGATGCAATTTACAGTTGTTCAAATCTATCTATTACTAGTTTGAAATTTTAATTAATGTTTAAATAAGTTAATATTAAGTTATTTCCAATTCAAGGGTTGTTGAAGAAAATAACTAAAAAGACAAGCATAGTGATGACGAAAAAAAAGACATGTATAGTCGATATGGATGGCATGATTGTATATGCAAAGTGCGTAAACCAATGTAGATGGTGATGTTAGAAATTTGCCCTACTTAAGATTTTTTTTTGCCGTAACGTGTTAGAAGTTCTTGTTGGGACAATGAAGGTTAAAGTTTGAACAAATTTCTTACAAGCGATTAATGTAAAACTTTCATATATTGTAATGTCTAAAATTAAATAATAATGTTATTCGTACATAAGGAGTTACATAATAATTTATCAATCATGCTACAAGTACATAATTTTTAGACAGAAAATCCTTACAGACAACATATGGCACAACATCATTGGAAGATGGGAAAAAAAAGAAAAAGAACAGTCCAATCACATTTTGCCACGTCAACATCGATGCACATTCTGTTAATTCTTTCCTTTACTCATGGCTTTATTGATAATTTACATATAGATGAACTGAAAATGGAGAAGTTTTTTTTTTTCTCTTTTCATTTGGTTAAAAAAATTATAATCAAATCATATCTCACTATATCATACTGATGTAAATTATTATTATGTACATATAACCCAACCGAAAATTAAAATTCGTCAATACATTTTGTAATAGACAGTCAAATTTTAATAAATAATAAAATTTTCTCACAATTTCGCCTTAAATTAGTCGTGATTCCGGAGTTTTCCCCCATTTCCGAAAACCCCGATTAAACTCAGTCCGGCAAAGCGCGTTTTTCACGTTTCCAAAGAAAAATTTTGTGAAAATAATTTGGCCCATGCAGGTCTCGAACCTGCGACCTTCGCGTTATTAGCACGACGCTCTAACCAACTGAGCTAATAGGCCATTTGGCATATTAATTCCCTGGAGGCTTACAACTAGTTTGATTTCAGGTTTGATATCCTTGTGCAATTATCCCTTTTCAAGTCAGCAGTTATATCATATATGGATTAAATATGTTCACACCATACATTTTTTATTTTTAATAATTATACATTTTAATTGCATAAAAGATTCATCATCAACACATTTATATTCTCAAATTTATACAACTTGTCCCTCGTGATAGTTTTTGACCAAAAATTTCGCTAAGATCAAATAAAGACTCAGCTCGCGTTTGGCAAATTTATACGAGGTTTATAAAGAGAAATAGTAAGAAGATGGTAGCGGATAATTAGTAATTATTTATGTGAAATTGAAATTAGTATATAACTTTGGCCGAATTTATCGTTTATTTATAAATTTGCATCCTCGTATTTTTATTTTTTAAGTAAGCCAAAAAATAAATACGAAATCAAGAATAAATATTTATCCCTCGTTTTAAAAAATGCGAATGGTATTTTTGGATGGAGATCTTGATTAAAGACGAGATTTGCTAGTTAATAAAAGGTTTAAGATAAAAAAAAAAATTAATATATGCTTGTTTTTTTTTTTTTTCACACTGATTAAGAAATCTTATTTAAAATTATTGGAAAAGCAATTTTTGTCAAAAATTTTCCTAATTTACCATCATTTAATTATCAATAATTAGTAGTAAATTATTATTGGAAATAGTAAAGAAATAAATGTATATTAGTAAACGAACAAAACAAAATATTCTTGATAAAAAAAAACAATACTATATAATTGGGACAAGAAAATAAGGAAAGCGGACCTATATAAATGGGACGGAGGGAGTATATGCGATCAACCGAAAATTATTTTTCATATTCATTACGGGACCAATATGAGATTGGGATTATGCTGGATGAAATAAATGGTCAATTAACTCTAATGGCATTCGGGCATTTAATATCACGTGACTGCATTAAATGCAGACTAAATTGGTTTTATAATTTAAAAATCATCTTGATCATAATAGAGATTATAGTTAAATTTAGATAATAAACTTTTATATGCATTCCAAAAAAAAAAATTATCTTTACTCTTTATTTTACTTTTTCCAAGCACTCATTTGTTATTTTTTTCCTCGATTTTAAATTAATATATACTTTTTCAGATGTCAATAGTTAATATAATTTGAATAATTTAAATAGTGAAAATTTGATTGCAATTTTAAATAGCCAAATTCACTATCTATTTTAAAAAGTTTTAAGTAACGAACTTCTTGGAACCTAATTCTAAGATTTGGCTCTCTAAGTAAAGAGTTAAAGGGTATCTTCAATGCGCTCTCTATTTTAAGGGTTATGCTACATGTACCGAATTTTTATACCGAATCTTTTACACTCCACTCACATCAGGAGGTAGGGACCACAAGCCGAAATTTTTAAATACACATGGGGGCGCGTGCATTGTGAGAGGGGAGACACCATTCGGTACAAGAAGGTTAATCCTTATTTTAAAGAGCATCTTCTATCACATAAAGAGCGAAATTTTAAAAAAATAAAGAGTCACAACTCTAATAACAATCTCTATGTTCATTCATTCATTATTCTGCTTTTTTTCCATAAGAAATTATTGTTAATCCTTTTCCCTCCTTTTTATTCTGCAAAAATCAAAGAATGAATAGAAATTGTGTGATAATAAATGAAGTATTTTATAGAGAGTAAATTTTATTTTAACTAGGCAGAGTTGAACGTGCATTGCACTTTATTTTGAAATATTTTATAAATGATGTAAAAGTAATATTTAATACTAATTTGTTGGGGGCATTTAATGAGACTCAAACGAACTAAAAATAAAAAATAAAATTTAAGATGGAAATTTAAGAGAATAAAATTATGCCCTCAAAATTCAGTTTCTATTAATCAAATTTTTTGTAATTGTGAAATACTAAAAATGATCAATATTTTTATACTAGATCTGGTACATAAGAATTAAGTGTTAATACATAAATTTAAACACCCAATAAAATTTATAAGTACATGAATGGAAATAAAATCATATACAATAACTCTAAATTCATGTAGATCAAGATTCATCAACTAAGGAATATGAGGAGTCAAAGACCAAGATCAAGAAAGAGCAAAAGGGCATATCTTACAATCGCAAGGGGCATACCATGCGATTGAAAGTATGGATGATCGATTAAAAGTTTGATCGAGCCACATTCTCATTTTTACTTCTACTTATTTTCAACCACACGTTTTTTAATAAAATAATATTTTTTATCACAACAATAATTTTTCCTTCTTTTTCAACCACGTATTCACCATCACATCAAAAAAAAATGCATTCTTTCCATTTTAATGTGCATCAAACACACTCTAATAGCAGTTTTAGACACACTAACATGCGATCACAAGTAACACTACCATTCGATCATTGCTTGGATTTTGGGCGAAGAATGAGAAGATAAAAGAAGATTGTTCAAGAACTATAGAAGAAATTCAATAGTTCGAGACAAATTATCTTTTTCTTTCTCCAATTGAAATTCAAGTGATGTTTCAATATTCCAAAACTTGTTTTTTCGTAATTTTATTACGCTCGGCTAATTTTATATTAATATTCCAAGACTTGTTTTTCGTAATTTTATGACGCTCGGCTAATTTTATATAAATTAGGATGACGATGGCACTTATATTGCGATGATTTAATTTTAATTTCAAGATTTTGACGTTAAATACTTATTTAGTTTGAATGATTGTTATAATTAATGATTTCAATTATTTGATCCATAATTTGAATTTTACTACTTCACTTAATTTTTAAATTTTTTTTCTCATTTATTACAATGTTTCTCCATTCTTTTCAACTCTCGCATGCGAAGTTTGAGAATCAAGTTCCATTTGATTTGAAGATTGAAGCACATTTTAGTTGAGATGAAAAGAACATATAGAAGCACAACAAAAAGTTGCACGAGGTAATGATGGGAGAATGCGGAAAATCTTGTTACAATTTTGGCTAATGAGCAGTATTTTTATACTACATCTGGTACATAAGAATTAATTGCTAAAACATAAATTTAAACACCCATTAAAATTTATAAGTACATGAATAGAAATAAATTCATATACAATAACTCTAAATTTATGTAGATCAAGATTCATCAACTAAGAAATACGAGGAGTCAAAGGACCAAGATCAACAAAGAGCAAAAAGGCATATCTTACAATCGCAAGGGGCGTACCATGCGATTGAAAGTATGGATGATCGATTAAGCCCATATTTGAGTCACATTCTCATTTTTACTTCTACTCATTTTTAACCACATATTTTTCAATAAAATAATATTTTTCATCGCATCAATAACTTTTAATTCTTTTTCAACCACGTATTCACCATCACATCACCAAAAAAAAATGCATTCTTTCCATTTTAATGTGCGTCAAACACACTCTAACAACAGTTTCAGACACACTAACATGAGATCACGAGTAACACTACCATTCTATCA